TTAGTACTTATGGGTAAGTATTATCGTGTATTTTATAATATCGGTTCATGCTTTTGGATAGAAATTCAAAGTTTTGAATACATCGGTTATCGGATTTAAATCTGCATAACATATCGGTTTATCGGTTAAAAGTGATATCGGCCCATCCCTACTTATATTATTATTTCATCTTACGCATTTATATATTTAATATAATTTTTTATAGATAAAAAGACTTAGGTGTCCTATATGAAAAAATAGTAGGTGCAGAAAATTCTATCAGTGTGTATTGAAAGTCCTTAAGTCCTATTATTCACTTATACTTTTTGATTAATTTAAAGTATGACACTTATAATTCRAAAAATATATAAGTTTTAAATTTTTATTTAAATTTTTTTAAATACAAAACACAGTTTTAATTAAATTTTTGAAAGCAAAATATTTTTCTGAGCATTCCAGAAGTTATTCTGAAGTATCAGGTACTGAAATGACATTTTGCAATGTCACAGCATACCACTCCACTCGGCTTATCTAAATTTTAAACACTATAAACTCGTAAACTAGGTACCCATAATAAATTCAATTTTTAAGTATCACAATACTCAGAAAAATATTCTATTTTGAAATATAAAACTAAACCTGAATGTTGACACTTAAAACAAACAAAAAATGTGTTTTTATTGAATAGAAACAATGTACTCATTAAAAAAAAAAAAATTATACTTTTTATTATTAATGACTGTCCATTGATAAAGAATCATTCAGTATTACATGAAACAGAAAGTCATTTGATGACCATATGAAGGTATCCAGGGTCGGACTGGCCCGGACCGCAGGTCCGCGATCGCGGACTGGGCCCCCAGCTAGTTTGGGCCCCTAAACTTTATGTTCATATTTTAAATTTAAATAAGATTACCATTTTTTTAGTAACTGTATTTAAACATGTCTTAATATTTAGAAGGGCTCTTTATTGATTTTAGATATATAATATAAAATGAATATTATAAAATATATATTATATTATTATTTTTTAATATTATATAATATTAAAAAATATTAAAACAAAACTAAGATCGACTATTTCCCAAGATACAATGGAAGCATTATTATTAATGAATATAGAAAGAAATGTTGAAATTGATAAWGAAAGCWTTATTGATTGTATTGCAAAGAGTTCTAATGAACTTTCAAAACTTTTGTTAAATTTAATTGTTATTTATTTAAGTTTTTTAATTATTTACATTTAAATGTTTATTATCATATTATGTATTGTTTCATATTTGTAATTTGTTAAAGTCAAACAAATTGCTATAAATAAAAGTATGTGTGTAAAATATTACACTTTTATCTAAAATGTTTATCATTATAATGTGTTTTTTTTATTCCATATAGTTGTTATCTTATTTAAATACAAAAATGGAGAAGTAGAGAACGGACTTACAATTTATAGTCCAACCTTAGTAAGGGCCCTTTCATCAGATCGCAGACTGGGCCTTTTGTTGCCAGTCYGACCCCGAAGATACCATAGGTAAATAAAATAATTGTTTTACATGTCTATGAGATCAACTTAAATGTATAATATAGTAAATAAATAAAACCAGGAAAATTGTTTTGCTGAATTGTAGGTTATAAATTATAATGTACCTTGTTATTCTGTAGGTGTGATTAATTTTAGTTATTAAATCATAAATGCATAACAAAGAACGATTCTCAACGGAAATAGGGCAGATTATAAAAACTGCAAATAGAAATACTTAGTGAATGTTAAAAATATCTTTTTGTTCAGAATCTTAAATGAATTTTTAACCCATATAGTACATATAATAATGTTAGTAATTTCTAAAAGTATGAATTTTCCAATACCTGCTCAACTCTTCAGTTTTATCAACTTTATATAGTGTTATAAAAATTATTTATATTATATATATGTAATATGTATGTATACTTTACTTTAACAGAATCGGTACTATTAACATGACCAAGTCTTGTACAAAATTGATGACCCATTACAACCCATTCCTTTTGGATTAATGTTTGTAATCCCACAATGGATCGAAAATGAGAATCTATTATCAACTGTGCTAGACTAGAAATTACACAGCATAAATCACGTCCATCTCGTTCTGGAACAAGAAAATAATAATTCATAAGTAGGTAATCACTATTAACTATAATGTAATGTGAATATAAAAAAAAGTATTTTAGAAGATTATTCTATGATTGAACACTCATTGTTTAAAAAAGTATAAATGATATTGAAAAAATCTTATTTAGTTTTTAGTTGTTAATAAACAACATTAAAAATATTTATTCATTTTTTCCTTAAAATGTCTGAGTTTTTTTTTTTTAATAACAACATACAGTTCTAAATTTCTAATTCCATTTTCCAAAGTAGAATATTTTTTTAAAGTATTTTGATACATACAAATCAAAATTTAAGACAGTAAGTTTATAAGTTATATGTATTTAAAGTTTGGGTGAGCAGAGTGGAAAGGTATGTGTAACAAATTTTCCTATAAGTAATACAGTAGGTTAAATTCATTTTTGTCAAAAAAATTACACTTGAAATTGTCAATGTCAGCTTAAATTATAGTAATACACTCGGTATTCATGTTGTATGCGGTCTATCGCACACTTGTCGTCTACAACGGTACAAGTAACGGCATGTCATATGCGGTTTACTGCCGTGTATCTAAATATTTTCTTTTGGTGATTATTTTGGTTTAAAACTTCGAATTATAAAAAAAATGCATAGTACATCTCCATCATTGCTGCCCTCGTATTTGGCGGAACAATGGTGGCGTCTAAAAAACAAGAATGACAACATATTTGATTGTTTTTTATGAGATGTGAAATTATATTGTACCTAATTAAAATTGATTAACGCATATTTCTATATATTTTTTTGTATTATTAAATAGTATATTGAAATTCTACATTTATGTATTCATTCATATTGTTAACTATGTAGTAGATCGCATGCGTGGTAGACGACAAATGTGCGGTAGACAGCATTGCCAAAAAAAAAAAAAGATAAAGAAAACCTCAGACTTATGCAAAAACAGAAGATTAATGTTCTTTTTTTTTTTAAATATTAAACGATTAAAAATCTTTTTATTTGTGAAAAAAACTGGAAAATGTAATAAAACATTCCTTACGAATTTGTCACTGAGATTAAAAAAAAGTCGAGTGTAAATCCACAATAGTTTTTTCTTAAGAGGACGCCACACCCGCATGTGTTGTCTACGTCTTACAAACGTATAACATAGCAAAATCTGTTTAGCACGAGGCAACTTTACTCCCTTTGTATTTATAGTAGAATTACCAAAATTCCACAACGTAAGGGGAGAATATTATCTGTGCAACAGCGTCGTTATTTTTTTGATAACATAAGTACACCTAACCTAACCTAAGTTATCAGTTAGAGAACATAAGTTTTTTTATTTAATTATTAAAAATTATTGGCTATCAAAAAAATAACGACGCTGTTGCACAGATAATATTCTCCCCTATACATTGTGGAATTTTGGTAACTCTACTATAAATACAAAGGGAGTAAAGTTGTCCCACGCTAAACAGATTTTGCTTTGTTATACGTTTGTAAGACAGAGACAACACATGCGTTTGTGGCATCCTCTTAACGCCTTAAATTAAAAT